GGATTTAATCAACTCTATCACAAACTCTAGAATAAAGATCTCTCCTTTTGCATATTTCCTCCTTAAACTTCATTGTTAATTATAATCTCCAACTCCCCTTAAATAGACCTTGATAGGATAGGAAAGAGATATCAATATCTGAGTGCAAATAAAAGATCAAACGGGCGATGAACGACTAAGATTAAATCCTAAAAATTGTCAAATTTCGTTATTACCATCAATGATGAATCACGACCATCGATGGTCTCTTAGTGATTATTGATGGTTCAATTTAGCCATCGATGGTGCTGATTATGATTTTTGAATTTCTTCGATTATCTCATGTAACCATCAATAGTTCCCCATAACCATCATGAGTCACTGTAGACTATCGATGGTGCCAATTTTTCTGTTTTTCTCTGATTGACTCCTATAACCATCGATTAGGTATTGACCATCGATGGTTGTCTCTTGGATGTTGATGGTTCGAAGGCTGAAATCAACATTCGTGTTGATTTTTGCATCATTTAGAACCACATCTTACTCGTACTTGTTTATGCCTGAAATACATTATCTTACAAAATCTATCAGTAGTAAATGAGAGTTTGTTATTATTCAAATGAGAGATATTGTACGAACAATATTCTAACATATCTATCACAGAAGCACTGATTGAGTTCTCCTTGGTAAATATATTGAACAACTTTGTCTATGAAAACTATAAGAAAAATAGTAAGTATTTATAAAGTTTTTATAGTTTATTCTTTAAATATTAAAAAATCATAAATTTAATATAAAATTACATACAAATAATCTTGTAATAGAAGCTAAAGTGGGCCATTGATTAACTATATTGCGAGATATAATAAGCCAAATAAGAGGAGAGAAATCACTATAATGAACAAAACGTATACACATGATACTTATTTACAATAGCATAAGTAAAAAAAATTAAAATCAATCTTTTTTTTCTATATAATGGCATGACTCTGCGTGTAACATTATATGGGGATATGATTACCAACAAATGATCAATTCTTGGATTCACAATCAAAGATAAGCATGTAATAGTACTATAAGATTTCAAGATCTATAAATATGAAGGTAACATATTTCATTACCAAAATTCTTATTAAAGAATATTAAATGTAAATGCACATTATATCTTTCTCAAATTTATATGAAGATATGCACGTCATTGTAAATTGCTTCAATAATAAACATTAACCCAAAGATACAACATACTATAAATTGCTTCAATAATATACATTAACCCAAAGATACAACATACTAAAAAAATAAGAGAATGATAAGTAAACCAAGCAAACATCTATATAACATAATAAAAAATATTATATTTTAAAGATAATATGAAGGGCTTATTCAGAACAAGCTACCAAGACAAAAACATCTTCATCAAAGCTATTTACAAATACACACAAATTTAAATTGCATATATATGCAACCATCACAACATTCGAAAGATGTATAATCTTCCAAGACCTGCTCTAAAATACACACAATTAAGCCTAAAAGTAGTTTATCAATATACAGACACATTGTTGCACCTATAATGTAAAGATAACTGTCATTTACAATAGAGTTGAGTCATGATTTTGTGATTGCAAAGGATGCAACAAAAAGGTGGATAAATATGTTAATAAGAGTGGATAAATATCGTAGAATCGCCAATGATATAGTACCAAGGCTAAGTAATATTTCTTCTTCATGAAATAAACATATCAAGATCAAGTATCAACATTATAATCTAAGGCAAATTGACAATGAAAATTACAGTTATTCAGTTCATATCCTCATGGAAAAATGACATGTACAGAGCAACGATAATATTATTTTATGTAGTAGAAACTCTTATTAGATGCATAATAAAAGAATTCATTATAGAGAAAAAAGTAACTCCTAAACTTATTTAAGTAAAAAATTAGACACACAAAAATTTTATATATATGAAATTAACATTTATTCTCTTTGAAACAGGAAAAAAATCAAAGTCCATGTTTCCATAAATTTGTGTTGAACATTAGAAATACATTCAAATTCTTTGTCAAGTAAGACAAACAGATAAAAGATGAACAAGCCCAGTGAATGATAATAACATAAGAAATCTAGCTCCAGCCTGATATCACAATCGATATAAATGATGAAGACATTACTCTAAAATTACCTAGAAAAAAGATAATGGCAGAGAAAGATTGATGATGACTCATTAAAAAAATAAAACAGAAGGAATAAAAGACTTATTTTTGAATATTTTATAGAATAATTTAATTTTTCGTAAAATTAGGAATTTTGGAAGAGATTTTCATAAAATTTTGGGTACTTTATATGTTTATGTAGATTCTTTAATCACATAAAAGTGTATTAGAGTTAGCATTAATCATTAATTTATAATTTTTATGAAGTCTAGTAATGATTAGGAATAAAATTTATATTCACTTTATTTTCATTCTAGCTCACTTTTAATTAATCATATTGGCCTTTTGGTTTTAGTTATTCGTCTTTAATTTATAATGCTATTTTTTCAAGTGTTTTTTTACTTTCGCAACACTAAACTTTCTCAAGTCAAACTTAGTTTCGTATTGGTCCAAATAACATGAAAGTCAAATTAATTTTGGATTATATTTGTTTCTTGTCAATTTAATTATTAATATGAAATTTTAAATTTGGTGTAGCTCATACAAACAAATATCAAAGAAAATAAATATTCATAATGCTAAAGTTTAGAGACATATGTTGGGTCTCATGTTTATGAGCCTACCATTTAATCTAGTTTTGATGATTAATAAACAATTCCTAATAACGTTTGTCGAGTGTTTATATTTGCTTGTTAGGTATTCTACACAAAGATCCTCTGTTAGAGGTTGGATGGAATTGCACATTCACGGTCACATTCAAAGGAGGATGGAAGGAATACATAAATAAAGCCAATACATTCAAGTCATAGATTTAAGATCAAGCTTCATCCGCAACCAAGATCGAGCTCAAACGAAGATTTCTAAGCTTGAGTATATTATTTCTAGTTTAGGTCTTATACCGTGTGTGTTATACTTTCAAACTCAATATTACACACACACACCCACACATCATTTTCGTTTTATTTGCTTTTAAGTTTAGCCATATAAATATGAAACAAATGGATATAGTTATATATACATATTTGTTTCATGTTTATACGTGCTTGAAATAATTTCATTAAAAATCAAGTTTTGACATATTCAAATCAATGAAATCATGTTTTTTGTTTTCATATTTTTTGTAAGTTTACAAAATAATATGTCTATAGATTAAAGACTTGATTATACTATTTTACATTATTTATAAAGTCTATTAATCCACTTAAGAGAAGTTTCAAACTTGTTTGAAAATATTTTGTCAAAATCATGTATTGTTGAGACTTCGTGTTTTTGGACTATTTTATAAAATGAAGAGTTTCCATAAATAAAAAAATATAATTTGAAAAAATATTTTTGTAACATGTTCATTTTTATATTTATAAATATTTTTCCAAGTTTTACATTTTTTGAAATTTATTTGATATTTTTAAAGAGGGTTTAAAGTTGACGTTTACTGTTCATATCAGGTGCTATGCACGTTTTAAGTCGACTTGCTACAGTACCAAGTCGACTTATAAAGTGTTGCGCAGATGGTGTTTTTAATCTGCTGAGTTGACTCATAATATAACAAGTCAACTTTATACTATATAAGTCGACTCATACCTGTCATAAGTCGACTTACAATATGACCGTTTCACAGTAACGACTAGTTTCCAGATTTTGTTGTTTTTGTCTTTTTGTTTTTGTTTTTGGGATTTGTTTTGTGAACTTATATATACCCCTTACCCTCAAACTTCTGAACTCATCTAAGAAAGTTTTAAAACAAGTTTTACAAGGGTTTTAGTTTGTTTAAGTGTGTTTTTACAAGAGTTTATGTGAAGAAGTTTTCACAAAAGGAAGAGATCATCCATTTCGTGTTTGGCTTCAATTTCAATCTCTCTTACTCTTTTTTTACAGAGAAGTTTTCTCTAAACTCAATTTCTAGCTTCATATATTTATTTGTTGATTATTCATTTTATAGAGAAGTTTTCTCTAAACTCAATTTCTAGCTTCATATATTTATTTGTTGATTATTCATTTTATTAAGCTAGATTTTATATTGAGTTTAGTTTTCATTATCTTCATATATTTATTTGTTGATTATTCATTTTATTAAGCTAGATTTTATATTGAGTTTAGTTTTCATTATTGCTCATTGTACACACACAACTCACTTGAGCTTTTAGTATTCTCACATATTGTATAATAGAGTTGTTAGGTTGTGGCATTGAGTGTGAGATTAATTGAGTTCTCATCTTGTTAGAGAACAAACAATTTGTACTTATGCTTAATTTGTGAGAACACATTGTAATACATAAGGACACCGAGAAGAGTGTGTGGTAAGAGACGGGGTCAATTCCAAGAGGAGTGACGTTGATATTAAAACTTAGGGAGAGGTAGTAAATCCGAGCACTTGAGGAAGGTGACACGTGAGAGGCCAACACTTAGAGGGTGTATTGTGATTATAATTGTGTGAGTTGTGAAAGTTTTCGATAAGCTAGAAAACCGATTGTGAGAGTTGTAAATATTTTTCGGTGAACATTAAAAACCGGTTGTGATATTGGAGATTCTCCTTGTGAGTGAGGAGCGGAGACGTATAAAAGTTTCACAACCGGTTGGAACATTGAAAACAGGTTGTGATATTGAAAACCATATTTTTTTTGAGTATGTTTGTATATATATTTAATAATATATTCTGGTTTTGTGTGTGCTTATATATTCTACATATCTTCCTAGACTATAAAAGTTTCAATTTTAGAGAAAGTATAGGAAGACAAGGTATAATACAAAACCAAGAGGGAAATGGATGATAAACACAAAAGAATCAAGCAAGTAATCCGAAAAATTTACACTGAAATTTTCTCATGCATAAAATCCATTTAATTAGAGGACCTATGCGTAAAGAGTCCACCCGGTAACAGAAACACCCCCCAGATCTCTCTCATCCCTCTCCTCCGGCTCTCTCTCCCCTCTTCAAATCCCCCAAAACCCTAACCCTAACCCTAAATCTCGAAGAAACCAAACAATCAGCAGCCATGGTGCTCGGCCAATTGGGCGGGAGCATCTCCCGCGCTCTTCAGCAGATGAGCAACGCGACCATCATCGACGAGAAGGTTCTCAGCGACTGCCTCAACGAGATTTCCCGCGCTCTTCTTCAGTCCGATGTTCAGTTCAAGATGGTCCGCGACATGCAGACAAACATCAAGCGGATTGTTAATCTCGATGATCTCGCCGCTGGTCATAACAAGCGGAGGATCATTCAAAAGGTAAGATTTTTGATTGTTGAGATCAGGGGTTTTGTTGATTTTGTTGGGTTTGGATTGAGATTAGAGGAAAATTGGTAGGTTTGGTTAAAAGATTAGAACTTCTGGAGATGTTGATGGGTAGGAGTGAAATTGTTTGAAGGACGATTGGAATTTGATTGAAACTGATGATTTTAGGAGAAAATAGACGTTATTTGGTTCGGTTTCATACTTCCTTCAATATTTGCATCGAACTAAGAACTGCTTTTAGGAGCTTTTATTTCTCCAGTCAGTTCAATCTTGTGGCTCTGGTGGTGCGGATTAGAGTTTTTGTAGCTATCGTTTGCTTCAAACTTGGACTGGAAAAATTGTTAGGTTTGATATAAAATATTAGAAATTTGGTGCACTGTTGGTTTAGGATTGAAAATATTTGATAGCGGCTTTGTATTTGATTGAAACTTATGAAGGAACAGTTAGATTTTATTTTGTTTGGTAATCTAGGCAATCTGAGCATCTGTTTTGAGCAAGTAACTTGGTCGTCCACAACTGAATAGTAAAACATTCTAGCTTGATCTTCAATAAACAGTAAATATGTTTAGAGATCATGCACAGGAAGATTACATTGTCAACTTTGATGATCTCGCCGCTGGCCGGGGGCCAGAGCATAACAAGGTAGGAAATGATCTCTAATTTGTTCCTTTTTGTTGTGGGTTAGCTGTTTTACAGAAAATATTAGGATTTTTTTTTGGTGTGGGTAAAAATTTATAAAGATTTGGTAGGTTTTGTTAGATTTGATATCCAAGATTAGAACTTCGACACAAGTTTTTTGCTTGAGGACTGAACATATATTGCTTGAAACAGGAAAGTTACAGCCTATATATGCTTACGAGATTGACCAATTTGAATAAAATGATAGGGAAATAAGGCAGAGTAACCAATAAAGTTAATGATAAATCCGATATATTGCCATCCCTCTTTTGAGTCTTTTTATGTTAATAATATGGATATGCCATATGTGTACATAAGAATGAATTATAAAATTGTGAAAAGAAATATCTAATGGATTTAATATTAAACTATATTATAGAAAATTTAATAATATATTTCGTATATGTGGAATATTAGAGTTTTGATGGTAAAGATTAGAACTTTTGCAGATTTTGTTTGTTTTGGACTGAGATTTGAGAAAAATTGTTTGATTTGATATGCAAGGTTAGAACTTTCACCGATGCTGATAGTTTAGGACTGAGATTATATGAACGCTGTTTGAAAGTTGATTGAAACTTCTGGTTTCAGAGGCGATCAAATATTATTTTGTTTGTTTGGTAGTCTTTTCAATAATATCTTTATGCACTTAGTTTATTATCTGAACACGAGGTTTTGATACGAAACTTGCATTTGTGCTGACTGTAAGGCTGTTGAAAGATCAGTGGTTTTAGGGGTTTGAACTTTCCCCCTTCTTTATTCGTTTGTCTAAAAATGCTCTAATGGAACTTGCATTGTAAATGCCATCGAAGTTACGATTATAAAACTTGCATTTGTAAAATGTGGTCAAAGTTAGGATTAGGATGGGATTGCTTCAATAAAGACGGGCTGGAGCACGGGGAGTTAGTTAAATTTTATGTGTAAAATTGTCGCTTAAGATATATGGGGGATAATGGTGACTTTTGTGTTTGGTTTGGTTTTAACTTCAGGTGTAGGTTGGGATGACATTATGCTGTACTACTTCTATATTATTGGTTAAGAGCTGTTAGGCATTAATAACTTATACATATATTTCAATGATCTTTGGAATAAGACTCACTATTTTGGATGCGGTAAGGCTCAGATGACATGTGATCTATGTACCTGGGTACTTCTATTAGGCAGCTGCATCTGTACCGGACACGTTCCCATAACTGTACCTGTACCCAAACCTCTTGAACACTTCTTGAATATATGCATATGTGTATTCAGGCCTATACAATTACACAATACATGTTTTAATTCAAAACACTCATGCACTTCTTGGATGTATGTTCTACACTTATCATCTATTTCTTATATATTAATCTTATGTAAATAAAAAACAATATTGATCTTATGTAAATTATTAATTTTAATATATATATATATATATATATATATATATATATATATATATATAATATATAATATATATATATATATATATAATATATAATGAGAAATATGGAGAAACTTGGTACCAAGTTCTTGCATTGAACTTGGTAGTAAGGTGCCAAATCACCCCCTACATCACACTTGAAAATGAAAACCTCTTTTTAAAAGTAGGTGAATAGTGATTGAGGCTCTCTCTTCAGGTGTGATGTAGGGTGGGGATTTGGCCACCTCACTACCAAGTTCAATGAGAAACTTGGTACCAAGTTTCTCCATATTTCTCTCTCTCTCTCTCTCTCTCTCTCTCTTATATATATATTATATATATATATATATATATATAATATATATATATATATATATATATATATATATATATATATTATATATATATATATTGGCCTTGTCCCTGTATCCTACATTTTACAAATTTGTTGTATCCTGTACCCATACCAGTATCCATATTCGTACCTATGCAACCTAGAAGGTGATGGATATGGACATGACTGAAAGTTAAGGTGGGAAAGGATTTAACTTTGCTCAGGGCCGGGTTAAGCTCTGATATCCATATGCATGTGCTAGGGGTTCACCATATGCTTATTATTGTCTGTTTTGGATTTAGTTGCTAATCTGGGTTCATAGTTCAGAGCTAGACTTCGAAGTAGTTGAATGTATTTTGATCTGCAATGAGATTGGACATATTTTAACCATTTTGAATATGGAATGTACATCTATATCCTTTGGTAGCCAAGTTGTAGTTATTGGTCCATTCGAATTTTAATATTTGAGTCTGGTAGGCTTCCAACTTATGATCCAAAGGAGGGATGTATCTATTGTGTGTTATGTTGCATGGAAGCAGGTGCGGGTATGAGACACAACAAATTTGTAAAAAGTTAAGAGTACACAGGCACAACTATACACACACGCACACACAATTTACACATGCACACACATTATGATTAATAATTTACATGAGATTATTATTATTTTTCATTGACATGTTGTGAGAATTAAAATTCCTATAGCATTTTTATGTTTCTTTTATTATGTAAATTATAAATTTGAAATCTGCTTATTTTTTGAACTATACATAAAATACCCTTGAAAATCATAGTTCTGAACAGGGTCTGGTCGGAAAGGAATGGAACCCATGTCCAATGAGTTTCAAGAAGTGGGTATTTAGTGTAGGATATATGTCAGAAGTATATGATGAGTGTTAAATTTATATTATTAAGTACACGTCTGGACAAAATGTCTGCATATATTCAATGAGTGTCAATGTTGGGTATGGGATGTGTTGGGTGTGGCTTCTTGATAAAAGTATACATGTAACACGAGTTGTATGACTTGTGTCTTGGAGACATTACCCTATATACAAGAACTTATATCTTAGTTCTTAATTCTCTTTTATCCCTTCAGTAAAGAATAAACCAACAGAACTACATTTGACTTGGAAAATTTCAGTTGTTTCTTGTGAGGTGGAAAGAATAAAATAGTCTTCATGCAGTCACTGTATCACGGAGCGCGGCTCATGTATTCCACATATACCAATTCCTGTGTTGTTTCTCATTTATGGATAATTTCCGAAATGGGATGTTTTGGCTGTCCGAGATGGTACGTTTAATTAACAAAATGGTTGTAAAAGATGTCACACTTTTATTTAAACTGTACATAGGTCGGACATATATATTGGAAGAGAAAGATCTAAAAAGCAATTAATTTTTTTTCCCTGAAAAGAAAGGCCTAAAAATATATTATTGCAAGCATGTGAATATGGAAGTGTCGGACTTCAGTGGGCATACAAGCAAGATTATTGGTTTTGCAGCATTGAAATACTAGTTACGAGAAGTATTTTAAATTGGGATTTTTACTAAAATTTTCTACTAAGGGCAATCCAGGACTTCTAGATCCAAGCTGTCCACAAGACTTATTCTAGATCTTTGCTTTTTATGTGAAGCATGACATCTCTTATTCTCATTTTCTTGAGGAATAAAAAGCATAAGAATAACCTGTTTTCTGTTTTGTCCTTCTGCTGAAATGTGATCATGAACCTGTACGCACTTCAATTGCACTACCTCTTTGCCTTTTTAATTATTTTTAGAGCTTCCTTGATCAAAATTTAAATATCAGTTGTATGGGTTTTGACCATGCTGCCTACTTTCTTTCTTCTTTATGTAACTATTTTCCAGTTTCCCTTCAGGCTGTGTTTGATGAACTTTGCAAGATGTTGGATGCTGGGAAACCTTCCTTTACACCCAAAAAAGGAAAGACAAGCGTAGTAATGTTTGTAGGTTTGCAAGGTATTTTCCACACCCAGAGGCTATATTTAATGTTGTGTGAACTATTTTTTCTCTAGATGTGCTATTGTAGTGTTTGTTTGGTGTTGCTAGGTAGTGAGATATAGCAATATTGATTTGCCAGAAAGCTTGTTTTTGAGTGGAAGTTTTATATCTATGCATCTAGCATTCCAGTGAACTTAAGCAAAGGATAGGAAGTTTATGCCACCTTTTAGATGCATGGAACTGGATACAAGCTGTGAGAACCAGAAAGTAAAAGCAAACCGAAAAGATTAATCAACCTTTAAGCATGAACGGAGTAGATTTGCATGAGTTCGTGGAAGTATGACATGGTACAGGTATATTGATGTGACAAATCATACAACTAAAAATATGAGACTGATGTCCATGCGTACAAATCATAAATAGCCTGTAGCTTAAAATATGCAATAGAAACTATTATAGTTTTTGTAATATTCTATCACCTAAGCTACATGGATATGCGTACTGGTGTGGGTACGGGTGCAGGTACTGTACTCGGCAGATCTGTAAAAGGTTGGGTACAAGGACGGCTACGTATACATACATTTATAAGAAATATTTACGTGATTGATATTATGTTTTGATTCACATGTTGCAGAACATTTTATATATGTTTTATAAAATTGCTCATTTCTTAACCTGACATCTGGATAGACCCTTTTAAAGACATAGTTCTAAATTGTGTATGAACTGAAACGAACCCGATAGTGTCCAATGAGTTTCAAGAAGTATATGTCAAGTTTAGGATATACGTCCAATAAGTATATGACGAGTGTTTTAAATTAGAACATGTATTATATAATTGAGTTCATGTTTGAGTAAACGTGTGCATATGTCCGAGGAATATCCACTGTAGTCCAGTGTTGGGTACACGTATGTCACCAGTAAGGCTTCAGACCATGTAATAGTATATCACTTTCCTCGTGCCCTTGCTTCTTCGTATGTTGCAAACATTGTCTACTAATTCCTTTTACAAATGAATATTTTGTCCTTCTGGGAGTCCATGTGACAGCTGTTCTTACTCCCTTTTGCTACATTAGGCTTTGGAGAGTTCATGTACATATTACTTCTTACATATTGGTAGGAAATTATTGCCCATTCAAGACAAACTGTTAATAATTTTCATTTGTTTGTATAGTGCCATACTTCCTCGGATTTACGTAATAAAAAAAGTAGTTCAGAAGGATGTCTTATTTAATGTTTTGTGAGACTTTTTTTTTGTTTCTCTAGTGAAAAATAGCCTTATGAAGTGTGAGATTGCTCTATAACATGTTTAACATGCTAAATAGCCTCAAAAACATCTTTGATGGATATGGCTGCATTTGAGTTGCCTTTTTTTTAGGTAGAGGAAAGTGAATCGTAGAGCTGTAATACTCTTAATACATTCTGTTTTACTCTCATGTTGATCACAATCACTGTAATTCAGTGCTTTGCTTTCTTAGTTGAGCTTCTCCAATGTTACTAACTAGATATCTCTACTACTTCAACTAATGCGTTGCTGATTATTTCACCTTCCTTCATGTGGGCAGGTTCTGGAAAGACCACAACTTGTACGAAATATGCATATTATCATCAAAAGAAAGGATGGAAACCTGCTCTCGTTTGTGCTGATACATTTCGAGCTGGTGCTTTTGATCAGTTAAAGCAAAACGCAACCAAAGCTAAAATTCCTTTTTACGGAAGGTAATGCATAAAATTATGCTTGACATGTTTAATTTTTGTAGACTGTAGATATTGAGTATGAAGAAAGGACGCGGCTTTACCTTTTGAATATATATTCTTTTAAAATTTGTATAGTCTGGTGTAGTAGGCAATCTTGACAGGCTTCCTACAGGGGCATAGTCCAAACTGTTTGATTTGTATGCAAAATGCTGTGTGTTTGATGTTGAAAAAACGATTCAAGGTTTTCATGGTCAACTTTGTTTTGCGCCTCATCTTCAACCTCAATTACCTAATAATTTTTGTTCTACATTTGTACATGATATAATGATATGATAAATTCTTTACCTTTTAATCTTCTGTATTTATGTTTTCATAGTGAAAGCAAGGAGGTTGTAACCTGTTGATCTTTTTCATCAAAACTGGCAAACAAAATTTCCCCGTTGGCCAATTATTCTATGTTCTTTTGGTTTCCTTAGAATCCGTTTCTTCTGTCTCATATTTCTCCTCGCTAAAGCATCCTTCAGCTGATGAGGATTACACAATAGGTTATTCATTATCTTAAACTCCAATAGTGTCCTTCCCTGGGAATATGCAAATGTGTTGGAATAATCCTGCTGGGATGGAAGTATTGACTTTCCAGTGATAATTTATTAGGAAGGGCAGTAATGCCGCTACGCCTGGGATCCCCCCCCCCCCGCCCCCCCGCGTTTGTAGCCTTCTTTTTCGCTGATAGCAAAAGCATTAGCAGTCATGTTTGCATTGTGAACTATATCGGATATTGAAAGTCAATGGTAACTTGAATGGCATATAGCTGGTAATTTTTCTAGAAGTTCTCAAAACCTTCATGTTAGGGACTTCTAGATTTCAGATTCTAAAGCATTTTCTTACTTGTAGTGAAATGTCAACTCAGACAATCTGCTTTAAGCAATGGCATTAATGATAAGTTCTTTAAATATATGACTTGTAATGTGGTAATGTTTCATATGGATTTACTTTATCATCTTGACCAAGTTATTGTCGTTGACTTTTTCAGTACTATCACACTATTACATATGATTTCAGCTTTTGACTGATTTTTTTCTTGACAGCTACATGGAATCTGATCCTGTAAAAATTGCTGCGGAGGGTGTGGAGAGGTTTAAGAAAGAAAACTGTGATCTGATTATTGTAGATACAAGTGGACGGCACAAGCAGGAAGCTGCCCTCTTCGAAGAAATGCGTCAAGTTTCAGAAGCAACGGTAAGTACACAATTACTCTAATTTGTCTTTTTCCTAATGCACTGATTATCATTTATATACTATTGCAGAAACCCGACCTTGTGATATTTGTCATGGATAGCAGTATCGGTCAAGCTGCATTTGATCAAGCACTCGCTTTTAGACAAAGTGTATCAGTTGGAGCTGTGATCATAACGAAAATGGATGGGCATGCAAAAGGAGGTGGTGCACTTAGTGCGTAAGTCCCACTTTTTTGATATGCTGCACGTCTTTTAGGAGGATTCATATTTAGGTTGCACCAAGTTAGGATTTGCAGGCATTTCACATATTATGAGTGCACCTACAAACACTTAAGATGCTTCAACACTTTCCTCTTTTTGTGTCTTATTTTTGTGTAAGTATAAGTGTGTTTCTAAACTGAAGTGCCTTTTGCTGTTCAAGATATACGAAGAACGTTTGAGACAGATTTCTAGAAAAATTCTATACACCAAAGAATTGCCTTATGAAGTGTTAACTTGTGTTGGTGTAGAAGAGGTTGTTTGTCCATATTATAGCAAACTGAGCATTGGCAAACTGTTCAGTTTATCAATTATAGATGCAACTTGATATAACATTATTATGTTGCAACCAAGCGTTGGCTTTTGGCAAGATCTTATGGTACTCTGTAATTTGAATATCAATCAATAATATTTTCTCTAAGCTTTCCTTAGTGTTATCTCTTTCAGCTCTCAGTCTATACTATTAGGCTATTAGCTTTTCTTGACGTTCCTTAATATACTGCAAATTTTGCTTGATGAAAATCACTAATAGTTTCTCTAAGGCTTCCCTTAGAGTATCTCTTTCAGCTTTCAGTCTATACTATCAGTAATAGTTTCTCTGAGCTTTCCTTAGCGTATCTCTTTCAGCTTTCCGACCATTAGCTTTTCTTGCTGTTCCTAATATACTACTACTATTGCTTGATGAAAATAGGATGCTGGGAATATTAATTCTGTCCACGAAGAAATTGTCTGATCACAGTAGTTAGGAATGTCTACCTCATGACCTAGACTAGTGGCACCTAATGACCTAGACTAGTTACAAAAGTGTTCCTCGATATCTGCACACAAGAGCTTCATTGACATTTATTATTTAGGCACCAAGGCCTGAAATTACAAAGAAAATCATCCATTTTGCTTTATTTCTACAATGTTCAACACCATTAAACATGAATGCTTTATTCTTGTCCCTACATGTGCATGTTCTGCATCATCTCATTTTCCATACGATTGGGTTTTGAGAATTATGACGAAGTTCACTTGAGTAATGTTTTTCTATAAAGAAGCGCTACTGAGTTTTAATGAGCTGTTTGTAAATGAGACCTGCATATTAGGGTACTGAAAGAAGATGAAATATATGGGTATTCAGGTTTTGATTAAGGTTGTTGATAGCGGATCGCGGCGCGTCGTGGCGAGGTACCGCTAAGGCTATTGCGCGCTATTGCGGCGAAATAGCGGCAAATAGCGCACAGTCAAATAGCGGTCAAATATAAATATATTTAATTAAACATAGTACGAACTCCACAATCACCAAAACAATCTAAACCCCTAAGTTTAATATCAAATAACAAAAGTATAATTCCAACAAGACAATTGTATTGTTTAATTAACCAACAACAATTATCAACTAACCAACAATAATTCAAGACTGTTAAGGAAAAAAATAAGCATAAACCTAATTTTATCTCAAAAGGGGCTTTTTTTGACTGGAAGCACAAATCAACAAGAAAACACAACATTAAAACTTATTAATCTGATTAATCCTAACCTTAGCCATGAAAAATCTAGCTAACTGTCTCAAACGCTGATTTAAAAAAAAATCAAATAACCGATGATAGTTTCAAAACCCTAACCCTAATTAGAGAAGGGATCAGATAAGTCATAACCTGAGTGGAGTGGTCCTAGAGAGATAGCCGCAGGAGGAAGCAGAGATGAAGGCGGAGGCGGCTTCGAAGACCGGAGGTGGAGACTGGAGGCGGAGGCGGAGGCGGAGGCGGAGGCTGGAGGCGGAGGTCGGAGGTGGAGGCGAACGAGATGAGAGGAGCGGCTAGGGCTTTTGGTCGAGACTCGGATAGAGGGCGAGAGAGAGAGAGGGGGGCTATTTATCTTTGGTCGTTTCGGGTAGAAATTTAACAGAGCTAAATAGCTCTGTTTAGCGCGTTAAAGCGCTTTTAAGGCACTAAACAATGCTATTTACGCGCGAGCAGGCTAAGCGGAGCGGTTCACCGCCGCTTCCGAATAGCGGCGCTATTCCCGCTTTTAGCAACTATGTTTTGAAGTAAGTAAAATATTGGGTTAGCAATTGTTTGTCTGTGTGTGTATGAGTGGGTGGGGTGGTGGCGCTATGTGTGGCACTCACACATGTTGTGGGCTTTTTTTTTGGGGGGGGGGGGGGTGTTTGAATGTCGCTAATTTTAGACAATGATAACTGGAGATTAGGGAAAGTAAGTGAAGGAGGGATATCACAAGGGTACCCAAGTTTTCCTGGCTAAGAACTATTTTTCAACTGCTAGGCTGGGCGCTGCTGATTTGCCCTTATTTGGAATAACTAAATTGTATTTGAAGGTTTATATCAGATATAAAACTTTAGAATGTATTAAAAGATGAATCAGATGGAAAGGTCTAGTAAAAATGAAAGATCTGGTAAATATGGCCTATTTATTGTGAAATTTGAGGTATAACTTCTGTTTATTAATCCATGCCTTGTATTAGCGCAGGTATTTTATTTGTTTGCTTCAATATGTTGTTGGATTTTGTTTCTACGTTTATTACTGGGTGTATATAATTTGGAAATTGGACTGAATAATTGTTACTTTTTAGGTGATGAAATTGGTAATATTTTTCTTTCTTATGCAGAGTTGCTGCCACTAAAAGTCCAGTCATATTTATTGGAACTGGTGAACACATGCATGAGTTCGAAGTTTTTGATGTTAAGCCATTTGTGAGCCGGCTTCTTGGTAATACTTTTGTCAACAATATTCTTATATCTACTTATCAGCAAAATTCTTTTGCTTATGCTCATACTTGCCATGAAATCTAGGTATGGGTGACTGGTCTGGCTTTATGGACAAAATCACTGAAGTTGTGCCTACTGATCAACAACCTGAGCTTCTCCAGAAACTTTCTGAAGGAAGTTTTACTCTGAGACTTATGTATGAGCAATTTCAGAATATACTCAAAATGGGTCCCATAGGCCAGGTACGTCTGCTATAATTTAATAAATAACTCTGAATATAATACCATTATTTCCACATAGAACTATAATTTCTTTATATTTTCGCCAATTTCATTTTTAATATGTGATGAACTAGGTGAAAATCAGGGTCATGCTTCTGTCCCCTTTTTATTTCTGATGCATTTGTAATGCCAAAGTTGTATTTGCTTCCAATAAACAATGATTCACTTAAGAAATGTATGCTTCTACATTGCCATGAATGGTCTTTGGTTATCTTTATATTCACTCATTAAGATATTTTTTTGTGTATACGTGGAACTGATGTGTTTATTTTCTTCTAGTTGCTGACATTCTATGTATACTTCTTATGGACTTTATATATACTTCTTATGACCATTTATACAAATTATGTGATGCGCGTTCTCTTGTAAGCAGGTGATGTCTATGCTGCCAGGATTTAGTGCAGAGTTGATGCCACAAGGTCATGAAAAGGAGAGTCAAGCTAAGATCAAGCGATACATGACAATGATGGATTCAATGACGAATGAAGGTATCCTCTAAATCTATAATCCAATAATACCAATGTCACTCCGGCAAGTCCCCTTGTAAGTTCCATCATTTGGGCCTTTCCTTGGTCATGATTACCCTCCCTAATATCCGGCTGATACATATAAATCTGGTGGCAAGAGATACTTCACCATAAAATTTTTGCTAGTCTTACCTTTCATGTCTCAGAAATTTTTCTGTTGTTGATTGGTCATATTTTGGTGTGGGAAAGTTTGAGTTGGGATGGCAATGTTCATGATGTATAGCAACAAGCCAATAAGCCTAGGTACCTTGAGCTGTAGGTTAATTTTCTCAAAGCCATTTTCACTTCAAGTGGTAAATTGGGTGTTTTTCGTGGCTCTTTCTTTCTTTTTCTTTCTATAATCCATTTTAAATGTGATCTCTGTGGGATCTGTACCCGCATAGGATAATACCATCTTAAAGTCCCTTCAACTTCAACGGAACTCTTTTAAGTTGTAGTGAGGCTGGGGGGTATAACCTTTTACCCTAAAAAATATGTTGGTGCCATGACCCTTTTTCTTATATAAACACTGCAGAGCTCGACACCACAAACCCAAAGCTAATGAACGAGTCAAGAATGATGAGGATAGCGAGAGGTGCAGGTCGGCCGCTGAGGGATGTGATGGACATGATGGAGGAGTTCAAGCGGCTCGCCAAGATATGGAGCAAGATGAAGGGGCTTAAGATCCCCAAGAAGGGCGATATGAGCGCTTTGTCACGTAACATGAATGCTCAGCAGATGAGCAAGGCTCTCCCTCCTCAGATGCTGAAGCAAATCGGAGGAATGAGCGGTCTTCAGAATCTCATGAAGCAGATGGGCAATAAAGATTTGGGTGGACTGGGTGGATTAGGGGGGATGTTTGGTGGAGGAGATAGGTAGTTTTGTTTGATCTCATCCATTTAAGAGACTTTTCTGATGAGCAAAGGAGACACTGCAGCTCAATGAAGAGCATAATGCTTTACGGTCTGTGGTGTTCGAAATGTCACTGTTATGATCTAGAGTGCAACAGGAATTTTTTTTAATAGATCGGTTGCAAGGCTACCAATTGATGATTTCTCTTAGAGCTATTGATTCTCAGCTGGATGAGATTTGTATAATTATGGGTTAAAGTACCGTGTAGAGGGTGACACCGTGCGAATATTATAGTGCAACAGCACTAAATATTGTTGTAGTTTAATGAAAATTAAGTCAAGAAGCGGATACTGTGAATATTTTGTATCTGATTACGTGGTGGTTCGAGCTTTTGTTGGGATTGCTGTTTGTTTCTTAGAGACACAACTAAAGAGAATTGCTTTTTGACATTATTGACTATTGTTGTCATTGGATGTACTTATGCAGCTCTATCGTTTTTGAGAAATGATAGAGGCACACTCTCCACCACACCTCCAACCACACCTCCCTTCCTGCTACAGTATACCGGGCCCACTTAAGATTTAAAATTTAAATCTCAAGTGGGTCCCGGTGCACTGTAGCAGGAGGGGAGGTGTGGTGGAGAATGTGCCTCTAGTGCCTCTCATCGTTTTATGCGTCGGTCGTATTATTATCTCATTTGTGAGAGTGGTAGACACCTTTATGTTGCATATTTGTTTTTATTTATTTATTTATTTTTTAAACCCCCCTTGCTTTTGCTTATGCTTATTTGGATACTTTGGGATAGTTTAATTCATCGCGACTTACCGGGTTACTACTGCAGTTGCAAGCAACTTAGATAAAATTTGAACCGGTTGAAGCCTTCTGTTTCGTTGCAACTTATAAAAGCAGTCACAATTACAATAGACCTCCATTTGCAGTCGAACAATGAGATGAAAGGTGAGATAAAATTATAACTATGAACAAACCGGAAGTCCTCAACTGCAGTCTAAGATCCCACGCGCATATAGATATCATCAAGCCAACATCCTCAAGCTCAGAATCTCGCTCTCCTCATTTGCCCCCCGACCCCGTAACGGACCGTTGGGCCGGCAATCTAGCCGGGAGGAGGGTCACCGACGTGAGCCTGACGCTGGTCAACGTCTACTGAGTTCAAAGTCCTTGACAAAACTCGAACTTCGGTTTTGCATTTCCCCCAGTGATATTTCTTCACCTCTTGTTTCTTCGCACTAGCTAGCCTCAGACATCTAGATCTTCACGGCTTTATGGCATCCGATACGGCCATTAGAGAGATAATATCGGCGTGCGAGAATCTGAGTTCACTGAAGATAGAATTTTGTGTGTTGAGTCAACTTGTGGCCAACCATCAGAGGCTGGAGCGCCTCGTGTGGGCAACGGGGTCACGAACGTGTGATATGGATATCGAGACTCGGAGTCTGAGAGAGCTGGAATTGGATGTCCGCTGTAAATTTATGAGTGTCAGGGGTTTTGCTCCGATGCTTCGGATGTCGAGGATTCGTATTCTAAGTTATGCGCTTACTGCGCTCCTCCGAAGTTGCTCTCAGTCACCAGAGCTTACATGGCGGTAAATGGCTATCGATCGGAAGCTTTTCCAGTTTTCAGCACTTTCACTAACATGGTCATGAAACTCATTAGCTATGTCTCAAGAAGATGATAGTCTTGAAATTGTCATCGGTAAACAAAGTTTCATAGTTCAACATCCACGAGATGCGGCAAGGAGAGGTCAGTAGTTATATTATAGAGGCTATATATGCATGAAGAAGGGACGTCGAAAGAAAGTTCGAGTTCTTAAGGGTACCGTACATGAAAATTTTAAGAGGAGTGCTGGCAACTATGCAACCAAAGAAACCATGATATTTATTTTCACTGATGTAGGAAATATTTGGATCAAAATAGAATTAAGTAGAACGCAATGGACTTATGTTTATCAAGAGTTTATGTACAGTTGTGAAAAGATTTTCTGTTTTTTTTAAAGATTAATTGTTTATAGAACTTTTGTGCTTTCCATTATTATGAAGGTGCCTTATTATTCATGCTTTACAATTATCGTTGCATCTTTCGTACATGCATGGCTCAGTGTTCCCACAAATTTCGTTTCAGCTCTCTTTACAGTTTACATTCTTAGTACGTACGAAACCATCTTGCTTAAACCTTTTCAAAAGCGTTACGTTTGAACTTTCAAGAAATTTAATTCAAACATCTTAACTATCAATTTAAAATTAATTATCTTTTATTTTACATTTCTGAGATATTGTTATTTATGTTGGAGTGGGGTGTTAAGTTGTAAAACTTTCTTTTATGCATTGTTCACATAGAAAGCTAGCGTTAATTAAGTTTTTGGTTGTAGTGGTTTTGAGTACAAATTTTATTAGAACAACCCTCATAGAATAGAATGCAGTGTACCATCCGGTGCACCGGCCAATCGACTAACTAGATATCTTTTAAGGAAAGTGACCCCTCACTCCTCAGTCGATTGCTAAAGGTTTGGGTACAGTTGACCATATGGTCGATCATTTCAGTGATTTCTACATTATTTTTGTACTACGCAGATTGGAATTTTGGTCTTTTTGGGGGGCACACAATTCTGAGGTCTACATTTAAACACATCAAATTTATGCTCTAAAGAAAAATAAAATGTGAGAGAAGAAGATAGATCAATATTTTTGTGAGGATTTGCAAGAAAGTGGCAGGAGAGATTGTTGGATATAGTAAAGAGTACAAAGTCTGTGCTGAGTTAAGGTTTATAGTATCATACTCCAACAAGTCCTAGCAAGTTAAATGTTAGTTTCATGGCACTGCCTTTGTTATCGATCTCTCTACATAATCCTTTTTAAATGTGTCCCTGGTGGGGCTTAAACCTGTACCTTCAAGTTCACCAAAACTCCAAAAGTTGAAGTGAGGATAGGAGAGAGAGTTTTTCAGAGTAAATTTCACAAAATCCCCCTTGAACTTGTCAGCACTAATCAAACATAGAACACTTACATATCTTAACGGAAGCTTCATTGACTTTTTATTAATTGTGAGGAAGCAAATATGTATGCAAGGCTTTAATTGTATGCCTTTATTTTGAGCTTTCATCTTCCTTTTGCTTGCTTGATATTACAAACATTAGCTAGCCCTTTACATAGGTGCTAGATTTTGACTATGCAATTAAGAACTTTACTTAATACATGACATAAACTTATTTCTTGACTTTAATTATTACTTTAGGTTTGAGATTTAATATCCAACACAACCGCTCAAACCTGAAGCGTGGTCATGCCGAGCTTCTCTCTTAACTTTCTAAATGCATCTGTTAATAGAGGCATCGTGAAAATGTCTGCAACCTGAGCCATTGTGTGCTAGTACTTAAGAGTAATAGTTCTCTATTTAATATGCTCTTTGAGGAAATGAAATATAGCATCGATGTGTTTATCTTTCCCATGTTGTACTAGATTCTTGGCAAGCTTTTTCATTGACTTGTTATTAACGTATAACATCATAGGTTCTTCTTGATTCTGCTCCAACCCGTTCAAGATATTCCTTAGCCAAATTGCTTCATAGACAGCTGATGCTGCTGCTATATATTCTACCTCATATGTTGGCAAAGCAACAGTATTCTGCTTCTTTGAAGACCAAAAAAAGGCTGTTGTACCAAAGTAAAAGATATATCCCTTAGTGCTCTTTCGTTCATCTTGATCTCCTCCCCAGTCGCTATCAGAATATCTGACTAGTTCTACATCTTCTCTATAAGCATAGAAGAGACCATAGTTCATAGTACCTTTAATATATATCATAATTCGCTCTATTGCAAGCCAATGAGATTCCTTTGGCGTCTCCATGAATCTACTCACAAGTCCTACACCAAAGACGATGTCAGGTCTAGTGATAGTGAGGTATTTCATGTTTCCAATTAAGCTTCCATACTGAGTTGATTCAATTACTCTACCATCTTCTTCTTTGCAGAGTTTAAGACCTATAACAATAGGGGTCTTCACCAAATTGTAGCTATCCATCTTGAACTTGTCGAGTATCTGCTTTGCATACTTCTTCTGGAATATAAATATCTCGTCTGGTTATTGATGCACTTCAATGCCTAGAAACTAGGGCATAAGTCCACAATCTATCATTTCAAACTCCTGAAACATCGCCTTCTTCAATTCTAAGAATATCTTTCAAACTCCTGAAACATTGCTTTTTTGAACGTTGAGAATATATGATGATGTCACGTCTAGTGATAATGAGGTATATCAAGTTTTCACCTAAGCTTTTATACTGAGGTGATTCAATAACTCTACCATCTCCTTCTTTGCAGAGATTGAGCCTATTATCTTATCTTGTTTTGATGATTTACAAACAATTCCTAATATCGTTTGTCTAGTATTTGTATTTGCCTATTAGGTAATCTAGACAAACAACATATGTTGGACGTTGGTTGGAATTGTACATTCACGATCACATTCAAAGGAGGTTAGTAGGAATATCAGAATGAAGCCATTTGCGATTCAAGTCAAATTCAAGACCAAGCTTCATCCGCAACCAAGACGAGCTTTATTGAATCAATTCATTGGGTATAATGTTTTAGTGTTATAATTTGTGTGGTTATACTTAAAGCTCAAATTATTCATACTCACACACATATTGTTTAATATATTGTGTTTTTTTTGTGTGGTTATACTTAAAGCTCAAATTATTCATACTCACACACATATTGTTTAATATATTGTGTTTTTGGATTATAGACAAAATAACAATGTTTTACATATATTGTGTTTTTGGATTATAGACAAAATAACAATGTTTTACATCTTTCCTAAAAGTCTATCAATCCGTTAGAAAGTTTTTCAAAGTGTACTTGAAGTAGCTTTTTATCAAAATTAAGTATTTATTATTTTCATGCTTTCAAGTTTAGCCACATAAATACGAAACAAATGAATATAATCATATATATACATATTCGTTTCATATTTATATGTGCTTTCATTAATTAACATGTTTGAATTCAATGAAATCATGTTTATTGCATAACATATGTGTATTTTTTATAAAACTTTGTGTTCTTAGTTTATGGACTTGATAATACTAGTTTATATCTTTTCCTAAGTCTATAAAGCCATACAAAAGTTTTCAAACTTTAGTTTAAGTCAAAATGACAAAAACAAGTGTATTGTGTTTTCATGTTTTGGACTATTTTACAAAATGGTGAATTTTCAAAAAAGAGAAACGCAATTTTAAAAATTCTTTTTAAAATATGTTTATTTTCATGTTTATAAATATTTCTCAAAGTTTTATATTTTTTAGAATTTATTTGCTATTTTAAAGGCACTTGCAATTCAGTGTTCTGAAAACTGCATATATCAGTTTTCGGTCGACCGAAGAAGTCCTTCCGGTCGACCGACCATAAATTTTCGGTCGACCGAAAAAGTTCTAAAGGTTGACCTATCAGAATGTGTTT